AGCTCTACAGAGAAGTGGCTCCCTTGCCACTGTCCACAGGCACAAAGAAGGCCTGTGCTTAACTCTGTTCCGGAGAACATTTAGATTCCTGCTCAGCTGAACCTAAAGTGAGGAGCGGCAAACTTTTTCCCCCTAGCTAATCTATAACATGACTCAGTCCCTAATTTATTCTGTTAAGCCTGGCATTGAAACTAAGCTGCTTCTTCCCTGCACCACCGAAGCTTTGACATAACAAGACAAATAATTTTCTCAGGCCCTTTTTTATCTTCTAAGCCATTTGATTCTCACTTACTCAAGCCTGGGGGCACAGCTGACCTTCTGATAAAGCAGCTCAGAAACCATAAGAAGCTCTCCTGACATCATGCAGGGCCCTGGTGACAGAAGAGCAAGGAAAGCCTCCCCTAACTCCCGTTTCCTTACATATCCTTCCCCATTTGCCTCCTGGCTGTTCTTTTTGGGACAGGCAACAGGCTCCTGCATGGAGAAAAGAGTAGGCTGGCGAGATGTGTCTTTTTGTCACTTAAGAGAGGTACAGCAGCACATCAAGAGCAACATGGCCTCTGAGAGGATGCAGAGGGCTTAGATTCCTGGCCTTGAGCTGCTTAGATGACCCGGATCATAGCACACAGATGAAATCAGGGAAGCCACACAGCGCCGACCCCTGGTCAGAAGGCAAGAGCTTCTCCTCCCAGCACAGTCTAGGCCAGTGTTTCCCCAACTTGGGTCCCCAGCTGTTTATGGACTACAACTCCCATCATCCCTAGCTAGCAAGAGCAATGGTCAGGGATGATGGGAATTCTAGTCTGAAAACGGCTGAAGACCCAAGCTTGGGAAACAATGGTCTACTAGGAATCAGTATTGCACTTACATCCTGGTTGGCCAATCTAAGAACAGGATGATGAACTAGATGGCTTTGGCCTGATGCAGCAGGACTCCTCTTATGCTCTCATGAGAAATATCCACACACACACACCCGATGACTCAAGAAATGGAGGGGGAACTCAATGTGAGGCAAAATTCAACTTGTCACACAAGTGTCACCTGGAGAAACTTCAAAACTGAACTTGAGGACCCCCTTCAAGCCAGACATCTGAGGAATCTTGAGGAGATAGTGCAGGATAGTGCACACCCCAGAAATGATCTCTTTCAGCTTCTGCCTTCTGGAAGAAGGTACAGGGTTATAAGAAAGAAAGGTACAGGGTTATAACTGAGAAACAGTTTCTATCCAAATGCGATTTCGGTTTTAAATGCAGTGTAAGGTAGTCTCTGTGGGAGTATATTGTATTTCATCATGGGGTATCAGAGTTTTTAGGGGGCTAACCAGGCTGGGATAGCAGGCTTATTGGTTTTTGAATGTATGATGTAGATTTTTCCAATTTCGCTGTTCTGTATAGGACAATGACAATAAAGACAATCGTATTGTATTGTATTGGAGTGTTGAAATCATGTTTAGCTCAGCAACACAACACGGTCTATCTTATGCAGAAGCCTCTGAGTTCAATCTATGACACCTGCAGCTAGTGCTGGGTGGGGTGGGGGACTCCTGATTGAAACAACCCATCAGTTTTGAAAATATTGAAATAGATGGAGCAATAGTCTAGATTTTTACCAAGAAGCTTTTTCTGTTCATAAACAGTTTCAAAAGACATCAATATATCCATAGGACTTTACATAGGGTTAATTTCCAGGTGCATTTAGTAGTTCCTTATGTGAAAGCACCAAGCCAAGCTGTTCTTGGTCTCATCAGTGCCTGGATGGGTGACTGTGTACGAACTTCATGTAAGCTGGTATAATTCAGGGGGGAAATGGGTGAAATTGAACTAAATGCTTGGTAGCCCATCCACCATGTCTGGATTCTGTTTAGAGTTAGTACACCAGCTGCACTGGATGACTTAGAAACAGGCCAAGGCTAAATGCCTGGAGCATGACTCATCCACTCTCCTTTTCTCAAAGGAATGTGAGTATGCACAGAGACTGGTATACAGTAAAGCCAAGGATGCATTCAGCAGCATTGGCATGAGCATGAGTTATAAAATCATAGAATTGTAAAGTTGGAAGGGATGTCAAGGGTCATCTAGTCCAACCCTAGTTGACAAATCTCAACCGGTTCATACATGACAGATAGCCATCCAACCTCTGCTTAAAAACTTCCTAAGTCCTGAGAGTCCAACACCTTCCAAAGGAGTCCATTCACATGTCGAAAAGTTCTTACCACCAGGAAGTTCTTTCTTATATGATAGCCCTTGAGATATTTGAAGATGGCTATCATATCTCCTCTCAAACTTCATGCAGCAAAAATTATAACTGCCTTCTGTGTGCCATGGACTCCTCTCCCCCTTGATTCTTGACCTTGTGTTAATCTTTTAACTTAATCTTTTTGGTGAGTTGCCTCTGCTACATTTGATTCCCTCTCTTTGATATCAGACTTGCCCTGGACTTTCATCACTCTACTGTTTGAACCTTATTGTGCCTACTCCCAGTAATATGCATGCCTAGTCCTGATAATATCCTTCATCACTTCTATACCAGGTGTAGCCAAAGTGGTCCTTCTCAGAAGTTGCTAAGCTACAATTCCCATGAGCCCCAAATAAACATGGTCAATCGTCAGGGATTATGAAAGTTGTAGTCCAACAGTGTGTGGGGGGGGGGCCATATTACTAGCCCCTGTCCTACACCTAATGCAGAGAACTCGGTCTTATGTTGTTATTCAGATGTGACCTTTTCAGGAATGGGATTCTTCTGATCTTGTCAGGATGAAATGGACCTCAGCACTTGATGGATAATTAGGAAATTATTGATCTTGCCCACAACTGTTGAATCCCGATTCTTGATGAGCACACCTGTGTCTTCCCAAATGTTGTTTTCTATTTCCGCCCCCTCCCATCTCCTTTTATGCCTCCCAAACTACAACAAAAGTCCGGTGGCAGAAGAGCAATAGGACCCGTCTGCGCCAGATGTTCATTTAAAGAGATCATAAATGAATCAGAAGCAGACAGGTGGAGAAAGCAGCATGAAAACCATGAGACATCCTCAGCATGCTCTGAGTTCAATTGAGGCCATCCCCAGAGGAAATGGAACACAGCTTGTCAAGGGAAAATGAATGCCACTGAACAAGAAGGCACTGAGGGGGTGATGACAGGCAAAAGATGCACCATTTCTTCTTTGACTGCATTAAACAGAAATCATATATGATTGCAGAGATCAACCTGAAGAACCACAAAGGAGATAACTTCTCCCCGCCCCCATCTCCATTTGCTCCAGTGGGTGGGGACCTTAGTAGCTCATCAAATGCCCATGATCAACTTGCAAATTGTGGAACAGCATGGTTTTTGAAGTTGATCATCACACTTGAAAGGTTCTGCAGGGAAGAGGACAGTCTCTCAGCTGTTTGGGATCAAGTCACTGAGGGGTTTAACCACAGACCTTAACAGCACCCTATGTTTGTATGTTGAATATTAGCAGGGGACATCTTAAACTTTCCTCTCAGTTCCTCATGGTTGTATACACTGTGGCGATCACACAGGGTCCCCAGACATTTAACGGTCTGTGCCACCACTGTGCTCGCTTCCCCGCTGCCACCAACCAGTTACTCTCTGGTAAAACACTGAGTCCGGACAGTTCTTAAAAGCGAACCAAAAAAATAAGTTTGTTTTACAAACATTAACAAGTTTATGGTTTCTCAGATAATATTCCCGTCAGTATCTTAACTTTAGCTTCTTTACCGGCCTATACCTTCCTAATACCTTCTGACTGATGATCTCAACTGTTTGACTGACTCTTCTTAACAAATTCTCTCACTTTCTCACCCCAGACTAGCTCAACCCATAGACTTATCTTCTCTGTCTCTTCTAAATCCAGACTGTCTTCTCAACGACCCTAACTCTAAGTCTCTCCTCAAAAAAACCCCTCTGTGCTTAAACCTTATACACAGTTAACTCTGCCCCCTGGGTTCCCATTGGTTAGTCATTTTACAATTAGTTAACCCTTTCCCTATGAACCCAGTATGATGTCACACACATAGGAGGGCGAACGCCACACACACAAACACATTTTCTCTTTCAACTGTATTTTGGGGGATTAATAGTAGAGTTTAGTAGCCAAATCACTGCTATTTTTAATATGCTTCCTAATGGATGTGGCTTGGGTTCCCTATACTTCTCCTCCAGCAAATCTAAAACCAGTTAGCACTATCCTGCTCCTTCTCCCAGGAGGCGCACTCCCCATTTCAATCCATCCTCTCCATCTCTGGGAGAGAGAAATCAGGAGATAAGCGGGAGCCAAGGGGCGTGTATTTAATCTACAACTGGCTTAGCCCAGCATCTCACCACAGGTGCTTTTGTGGAAAGCAACGATAGAGTGAGGAATGAAGAAAGGACCGTTTTTGAGATTGGCCTCCAGCTAATTAATTCAGGCCGGAGCAAGGAAGGGGGAGGGAAGCAGAAAAAGAAAATGTGTGATGGCTCATAGCAAAACATAAATGGAAAGGAATAGAGTTTCAGCAGCAGATAGCTTCCCCCTACACACGCTCACAATTCAATATGATCTTTACTATGGTTTTACTATAGTTTCCAATTATAATTACAGAGGCAGCAATGCTTCTGAATACACTGGACGCTTGGGTTGCGAATGTGATCCGTGCGGGATGCACATTCACAACCCGCAGCGTTTGCAACCCGCAGCAGCACGTCTGTGCATGCGTGGGTTACGATTCAACTCTTCTGCACATGCACAAAGCCCGATTTAGCGCTTCTGCGCATGCGCAACTGACGATACCCGGAAGTAACCCGTTCCAGTGCTTCCAGGTTTCAGTGGTCCGTAAACCGAAAAAACGCAACCTGAAGCATCTGTAACCCGAGGTATGACGGTACCAGTAACTAGAAACGACAGGAGGGGAGAGTGCTTTTGTGCTCAGAACCTGCTCACGGGTTGCCCACAGACATCTGAGTTGGAAGACACATTGAGGGTCACCTAGTCCAACCCCCTACAATGCAGGAATATTTTGCGCCAATGTGGGGCTCAAACCTGCAACCCTGAGATTAAGAGTCTCATATTCTGCCGACTGAGCTATCCTTGATGGGCCATTGCTTTAACCCAGCAGGCTCCCATGTTCAACATTCATTACAAAAACTCAGCGACTCCTTCAAAATGTAGTGGGTTATATTCTGCTAGAATGGGAAACAAAAGACGAGGAGGTCAAATCAGTTATGATCAAATGGGCACAAGATATAGGACATAATATACAATTTGAGGACTGGGAAAAGTTGTGGAAGGTAGACTTGAAATTTACAGACTGTTCTCTTTTGAAAGTAAACTATATGAAAATGATGTAGAGATGGTATATCACACCAGTAAAAATGGCAAAAATGTACAAAACTGGGTCAAATACATGTTGGGAATGTAAAGAAAAAGAAGGTACTTTGTATCATATGTGGCAGGAATGTAGAGAAGTTAAAAAAATGGGAGATGATATATAACAAATTGAAAAAAAATTGTTCAAAATGGCATTTGTAAAAAAACACACAAAAAAAGAAGCATTTTTGTTAGGGATTTTAGGACAAGACCTATCAAGAAAAACAAATAACTTATTTATGTACGCCACAACAGCGGCAAGAGTCTTGTTAGCACAATGATGGAAGAATGAAGAAATCCCAACGAAAGAACAATGGCAAGAAAAACTGATGAGTTATGCGGAGTTGGCAAAGTTGACATATAAGTTACGTGAGAAGGACAACCGTGACTTAAAGGAAGAATGGGAACTTTTTACAAACTATCTAAAAAGACAACAAAATGATTTGGACTCCTTGGCAGGTTTTGAATAAACACCCACAAATTTATTAGTAGAACATATGATAGATAAGGCAATGATATGTACAAGTTTACAACATGCAGAGAATTACACGTATAAACAAATCAGAGAGGGGAGCTGAGGGAAGTCTCTGGAGGGTGGGAGAGGGAGGAAGGGGGGAAAGGGGGAAAAATGTAATTGGCTATATTGATTTATAATTTGATTTGTTAAATTTGCTCAATAAAAATATTTTTTTTAAATGTAGTTGGTTATATCTAATGGGGCCATTCATTGTTGGGTAACAGTTACATTAAGGGTGTTGGACCATCCTCTGAACCAACAATGCGGTTCTTATGTTTTGATGGTTTTAGCTGCTCATTGGACCTCACCTACCACCAGATTTGTGTGGTATGATCACCAGTCACACCTACAAATTATATATATATATATAAATAGGAATGGATGGTAAAGACACACACCTGTTAGACAGGCAGACTTCCCCTATGTTTGAAAAGATTGTTTGCTATGACATCTAACTTGCTGCTCAAAAATTTCCATGCCAAAATATCTTCCCTTGAGAAAGAGTGTTTGAAAAACAGATTCCCTTAGGCGGTTGAGGTTTGGCATTTGTTTGTCCCGCTCTGCCCTCCAGAAATTCATATTTCCTCTTCCCTTTGTAAGTTTTTTAAAATACTTTTTTTGGTGGGTGGGTGCAGAAGTCTCCTGCTAATATAGCCCAGGGAAATGTCACAGTGTTTGCATATGGAAATAAGGGGGGTAAATTAACAGTGAGTTTTAAAAAGGAAGGGAAGAAGAAGACTGGAAGTGGGGAGGAGAGGACAAAATAGAACCCTGGAGCTATTTCACATAATATTTTGCTAAACTCACAGAACAGAAGTAACTGTATTCTCTTGAGTCTTCTTTAATGTTTATTCCTGAGATGGAGGGAATGGAGAATGGATGGCTGTGTGGACAGAATAAGAGATGCTGCTGTCATTGGATGGGACAATATTCTACTCTGTTGCAGAAGCATAGCGTAAGGTCACATTGACACCATACATTTAAAGCAGTATCATATCACTTTAAACAGTCACTGCTTCCTGCAGTGGATTCTGGGAGCTGTAGTTTGTTATGGGTGTTGAGAGTTGTTGGGGGAACCCTATTTCTGCTGCAGAGCTACAGTTTTGAGGGTGGTTTAACAACCCATCCTTCTTCACAAGATGCTCTGAGAATTGCAACTCTGTGAGGTGAATGGGTGTCTCTTGACAACTCTTAATTCCCATGCAAGGGTTCGGCCACAAGGACCCTGATTGCAATGAATTGGAAGGGGGATAAGGTTCCATCTAAATCAGAGTGGTTAAATAAACACCTAGAATATGCTGAGATGGCACAATTGACGAACAGACTGAGAGGCAATTTCAATCAATGCTTTACTCAAAAAATGGGACATGTTTAAAAAATATTTACAGAATTACAATCACGGTGTGGCAACTATGGTAGCGTTTGAATGATTTCTGTGTAAATAATATAATATAATGTGGGAAATAAAATAGGAGATAAGGTTTACTTAAAAAAGACTTTAGGTATATTGAAATATGAAATTTATTTTAGCACAAATAAATATATTTATTTTAGCACAAATAAAAATATATACATTGGGTTCAGACGGGAAGTCACGTATAAAAATACAAATGTAGAAAAATAGAACAGAAGATGATCAATAGTTTATCAAAATGGAAAATTATTACTGTTTTGTTTTGTTTTTTGGGACCTTCTCTGGTCTTTTCAATATTCATTGTAAATTCTATGATATGTTACTTTTCAAATTTACACAATAAAATTAAAAAAAATAGATAAATTGTGGATTGAAACGTAGTTATATCTTGGTCTTTACACTTCCCAAACTTTCTGTCACAGGTCTCATCTCCCAAAAAAATATATAAAACCTTAAAAAAATTATTTAGAAATAATCTATATTTAAAATGTGCTTTTAAGTGTGAATTCCTCTACAGATATATTTTTAAAAATCACAAGATTTGTGCTGAAACTGTATAGAACATGGGTTTAACTTTGTGACTCTCTTCTATCCAAATTTTTGCAAGTGTTACATTTAGGATAGAAGTCAATCACCATAGTTAGAGTAACTGCACCAACATTTTCATACCCTCCAGCCTACGTCCGTTTGACTTTCAGGACCATTTGGACAGTTCAGATGGTATAAGAAGTCTTAAAAATAGTAAAATAGACATTTGGGCACATGAGGTGAACCACAGAATTGTGCCTCCTTCCCCACTAGGGAAGTAGAGATCAAGATCAGGAACAAAGATTGAAATCAGAAACAAATGTGAAGATGTGAAGATCTATATTGGGGTCCCCCTTTGGGTCTGTTAGAATTCCTGATCCATGATTGCAGTCATAGGATTGTTGTCTTTCACATGGCATGGTATGTTTTGACTCCACAGATTGGGAAGTGACGGAGACAGGATGTTTGTGTTACTGTGTTCCGTGAAGTGGGACTATTGTCCTTTGTTCTTTTTCTCTTTGCTGCCTGATGCTAGAGAGAGAGGGAGCCATGTTGCAGTGCTCCATGTGTGTTTATATGTAAATAAAAGTAGATTAGCCAAAATGCTGAGTTGCTGAGGTCTGTCATGCGCATGATGCGTAAGCTCTGCAGATCCCTAAGTGTGCCAGTGTCGGTTGGAATCAGTCGCTGTGATGTTCGGGCAGAAGAAAGCTTTTGAAGCTCCTGAACGAAAGACCAGGAGGGAGAGAACATGCCAGTTAGGCATGTGTCTCTGCCAGGGTCCTACTCGAGTGTAGGCTGAACTCCTGACAGGGTCCTGCCACCTGTGGAGATCACCTCACCTTGTCTCACGGGTGGGCCGGCCCTGACTAGGAACATGACAGCAGTGGGTGGTGACAGCAGAGGTTTGGAAGCCAACTTTGGCTGTAAGACTACACTGGAGACAGATAAGATTAGGATTTGAGACCACAAACGTTCCAGCCTAGTTGGAACTGGGTCTTCCTGGAAACCACTGTAAAGCCAGCCCTGGGAGGTCTAAGGTTCCTCCAAGGTCACACACAAACACTTGTCTGTAGAAACGTCTCCTAAATTCAAAGCAAATGTCACTGTCATAAGAAAAGGCGCTGCCCTTCTTCTCCCCTTGAAATCTGGAAAAGGAAAAAGGACCTCCTCAGCAAAGGCTCAGAAACAGAGAGGTATGAAGCGCCGGCAATTCTCCTTGACTTCAGTCCCTGACACCTCCTCGATCCTCGGTGACCTATGATTTATTTATTTATTTGAAATTTGAAATGCGCTTTCTTAATTGGTTCCATCTACATTTTAATAATACATTAGCTTGCAATAAACTTGCCCGGTTCTCGAAATTCCATAATACACAACACACAAATCACCCGTCTTTTCTCTCCCTTCTCCCACCTCCCCTTATGCAGCCCTTGACTGAATTGAATTATAAAGCGCTGTTGATGTTCTGTATAGGGGTTTGCTTTATTTCTTGCTACATATTTTCTCATTACATTTCCCTATGATTTATTTATGACAGTGCTATGCATATAAAATCCACGCTGCTCCGAAGTTCACATTGCAATGACCGAAGCGGCAGTCCTGGAAAAGTTCAGTGGGATGATTCAGAAGTGAATCACTTTTGGCAAATGTCCTTCTCTTCCGTGAAGCGAGTCCTCGACATGCGCTTCAAAGCAGAGCCGGGCAAATGGCAGCCTTTGCATCTGATTTGACGCCCGGCTCTTTTGCTGAAGGAGATGTTGACAACAGGCAGCGAGAATGATCTTAAGCAGCTGTATAATGTGCCGTGGTAATAAATCATTCCACACAGAGATTGGTCCAACCAAGCACCATATTGCGGTTGCTTCAAACAGAATCAAGCTGACAGTGTTTTGAGCCTCATCCTACCTTTCCGAACCCTCAAAACCACTCGACAAAGGAGGGAGAAGAGATTAATTCAGCTGCTGTCCTTCAGGGATTAGTCCATAGCTCAGTGGTCAAGCATTTGCCTCGCAAGCAGAAGGTCCCTGGTTCCATTCCCAGCATCTCCAGGTCAAGCTGAAATGGGCTCCTGACTGAAATCCACAATCAGTAGCAACTGAAACACACCCCATCACTCTTCCAAACATTCTTGCTGCAACTCAGCAATGCCAGGTTAGTAGAACTTTCAGGAATTCGGTGTGGGGACAGATGGGATCAGATATACCTTCCCCATCTCCATGCTCATGCTCCTTGGTTTGACAGTAGAAGATCTGTTTGACATGCAGAAGTTCCTAAGTTCAATCCTGAGCATCTCCAGCCAGGGCTGGGAGAGATCCCTGCCTGGAAGGCTGGAGAACTGCTTCCAGTCAGTGTAGACAAGACTGAGCTAGATGCACCTATGATCTGACTCAATATAAGGCAGCTTCCTTTGTTTCTAAACCTTCTCCAGCTCTAGAAGTCCTTTTGCTGGAGTTCTCCCTCCTCCCCAGTCACAACCACAAGCAGTCTTGGTTTCTAGGGCCAAAGCTGTGTTTCCCTCCCATTAAGAAGTTAGGAAACAGCTTAGATTTATAGCTTCTCGGCCTATTGGTTTGTTGCACAGAAGATTCCTCACATAAGAGCTGCTGATGCACTATCTATCTATTATCTATCATCTATCTATCTATCTATCTATCTATCTATCATCTATCATCTATCTATCTTTCTATCTATATCTATGTATCATCTATCTATCTATCATCTATCTATCTATCTATCTATCTATCTATCTATCTATCTATCATCTATCATCTATCATCTATCATCTATCTATCTAATCTATCTATCTATCTATCTATCAATCATCTATCTATCTATCTATTCCACTGCATCTCAGCTTCAGCAAAACATAATTTCCACCATCAAATGCCTTTTTTTATACATCTTCTGAATGCAACCTCTCAATGTGCGTGGACATAATTCTCCTTGTATGATACTGAAGTGTCCTTCCAGCCTCAAGTGCACCACTGATAGTAAGAATATAAGAGGAACCCTATTGAATCAGACCAAAGTCCTATCTAGTCTAGCATTCTGTTCTCACAACGGTGAACTGGATGCTTCTGGGGAGCCTCTATGCAGGATCTGATCCTCATGATTCCCAGCAAATGGCATTCTGATGCCCATTGCCTCTGACTCTGGAGATGACATAATGTTCATGACTAACAGCCATTGACTATAGTAAATTCTATTTCACTGCACCTGAACCAGGGCTGTTAAACTTTAAATTCTGTGACAGAAAGCTGAAATGCCTAAACATCTGCTGATGTTCCAGAATTTCAGAGGTTTTGTTTCCACATTCCTGCTTGAACAGCGCATCAGGGCTGCCATGAAGGAAAACTGAAAACAGGATACTCACCACTGATGCCATAATAACGATGGTAGGATTGGATCCTTCCTTGTGTTCCCATTCATGCTTTAAAGGTCTTTGCTACAATATTTGCTGATGAAATTCATTGGCATCTAAAGCACCTGAACGTTGGAAGAGGCAGTGATGGCCAACTCAAAAGGCTTTAAAAGAGAATTAAACAAACTCCTGGAGGAGAAGGCTACTATCCATGGCAAATATCTTCTTCTACCTTCACTGTTGGAGGTATGGAGGTGGAGTGAGTGTTGCTGTGCTCATGTCCAGTTTGTGGGTTTCCTACGGGCATCAGGTTGGCCACTGAAAACAACAACAACAACAGGATGCTGGCCTAGATGGCCTGAACCAGCTGGCTGAACTTATGTTCTTATACAGTGGTACCTCGAGTTACAAACACCTCAGGTTACAAATGCTTCAGGTTACAAACTCCACTAACCTGGAAGAGTTACCTCGAGTTGAGAACTTTGCCCCAGGATGAGAATGGAAATCGTGTGCCGGCAGCACAGTGGCAGCAAGAGGCCCCATTAGTGTAAGCACATCTCTAGTTAAGAACAGTTTCAGGTTAAGAACAGACCTGAAAGGGATGAATTTATAAAGGCAGTGAGGATGAACAGTGGGTGAAATGCTGATCTTAGAGAGATGGCTGATATAAACCAGAGGTCTCATAGATTTGGGATGTAACTCTTTTGGGAAAGGCAGAAACTCATCAACATAGAATCTGTTGAATCCAGAAGGTCCCAGGTTCAATACTCATCATGTCCAGGAATGGATGAGTGAAACCTGTCTGAACTGCTGCCAGTCAGTGTAGAACAGGGATGTCCAACAGGTCGATCCTGATCTACTGGTAGATTCCCAGGAGGTTTAGGTAGATCAGAGTTGATCGCTGGGTCCCTTTCCTTGTTGTTGTTGTTGTTTAGTCATTTAGTCGTGTCTGACTCTTCGTGACCCCATGGACCAGAGCATGCCAGGCACTTCTGTCTTCCACTGCCTCCCGCAGTTTGGTCAGACTCATGCTGGTAGCTTCGAGAACACTGTCCAACCATCTCATCCTCTGTCGTCCCCTTCTCCTTGTGCCCTCCATCTTTCCCAGCATCAGGGTCTTTTCCAGGGAGTCTTCTCTTCTCATGAGGTGGCCAAAGTATTGCAGTCTCAGCTTCAGGATCTGTCCTTCCAGTGAGCACTCAGGGCTGATTTCCTTCAGAATGGATAGGTTTGATCTTCTTGCAGTCCATGGGAGTCTCAAGAGTCTCCTCCAGCACCATAATTCAAAAGCATCAGTTCTTCGGCGATCAGCCTTCTTTATGGTCCAGCTCTCACTTCCACACATCACTATCCCTTTCCTTAGCATTGTTTAAAAAGAATCCTGCCCGCCCCCTCGCTCTGCCCTCCATTGTTGCACAATCTGCAGAATAGAAGACAGTATTTACTCAGTGAGGCTGTTTGTTTCCCTGAGTGGGTTTCCTCTTTCTCCCTTAAAATGGCCAGCAGCTTAGCCATGAACCCCCCCCCCCAAATTGGGGCTTTCTTCCTCGCTAAGAAAAAGTTCAGCAACTTTGACCTGAATCTGCCAGTTTTTAATTCTGTGAGTAGATTGCAGCCTCTTCGGAGCTGGCCACAATACTGAACCAGAAAACCTCTCAGACAAGTGGAAGTGAGGATGAGCCCTCAGTATAAGAGAACTTCCTATGATCCTGTGACTTTGTGGAACTTACACTAGAGGTAAAATGCATCCAGCTGTTTATTAATGAAAACTTAGTGCCTCTAGGAAAAAAATGAAAGTTTATAATATAGACACTCTGGGGAGGTTGCTTTGGTACTCACCAGCTAATAATATTTGATTAGGCTTTACTTCAAATGTGGATTTACTAGGATGTCATCTTAGCAATCTAGAACTGCTTCAAGGTCCAGTAGTTTTGCCTCATCAGGTAGCGATGCAGTCACCAGGAGCGGGAGAAATGCAAATAGGAAAAAATGATGGAGAGTCATTCATGTAATGGAAAAAGCTGGACAAAGTATCAATGGAAGGATGTGTGAAAGACAGGGAGAGGCTTGTTCCATTTTTGAAGAAGGAAAAGAAGGGGATAAAAAAAAGGAGGAACCGTAAAAGCAGGGGATGGCTAACCATTGTACAGAGCATTGAAAAGGATGCAATTGTCTTCTGCTTGAAACTTGCAGGTTTTTGTAGCACTCCCAAAATATGGGAAACCAGCTGAGGGTGGGACAAAAAGAATGGTGACTCTAGCTTCACCTCTTTTAAAAGCACGGTTTGCTCTAAGCAATTTTGCTTTTCTTATCACTGTTTGGCCAAAGAATTCTGGGACCTGTAGTTTGCTGGGGGTGTTGAGACTTGTTGGGACATCCCTATTCCCTTCCCAGAGCCACAGTTCCCCAAGCTCACTGGAAAGAGGAATTGACTATGAAATCACTCTGAGAACTGATGCTGTGTGCAGGAAGGGGAAGGGGTCTCCTAGCAACTCTTAGCACCTTTAACAAACCACAGCTCCTAGAATTCTTTGAGGGAATCCTCAATCCTGTTTAAAGTAGTATCATAGTGCTTTAAATGTTTGGTGTCAGTTTGGGTCAAGTCTAGATAGGTTAGGCCAAGGCCAGGCAAGGAAAACCCAGAAAAGGTTTTGTACAGGAGTCTTTTCCAGCTTTACGTAGAGATTCCAGAAGCTGAACCTGAAATCATCGTCATGCAAACCATTTGCTGTCTGTCCTTTCCCCTGCATGCTTTAATGGTCTCACCATAAAGAGCAGCAGAAGTTATCTAAGCATCTTCTTTGGCCAAATCTTGGCTGATCTTAGCAGTCTGTTTCACCCCAGAGATTCTTGCCACCACCACTCCTCCTGACCCCAGACCCTAGGAGGCCCTTAAGACCTCGTCTTCCAGACAAGGGCTGCAAGCAAGGCAGGCATTTTACATGCAGAAAGAGTCAACCCAGAATCAACAGCTGTCTCCATGCTAGCACAGGAGGCCATAAAAAAGAGAAAAAGAACCCAGCACCTCATTTCTGGTGACAAAAATGGTAACGAAGAAAAACGAATGCCACTGAATTAATCTACTCCCCTGACAAAGATTGCAGTAAATGAGGGAAATGGCCTGGCAGGAAAATTAACCCATATTCTCATTATACTGTTAAGTGGCCTTTTCAGATGCTGCTGCACTCAGCTGATAGTTTACAATTCAAAAATGTGCAAACGATACCAGCATACACTGGCAATGCTTTTATTGCTGAACGCTGCATATGGATCGCCCTCCCAAAATACACACACACACAGAGAGAGAGAGAGAGAGAGAGAGACCAGCTTTTGCAACTGCTTCTTGTAAACAGACCGAGAGATGCTTGTTTGCCTGCAGACTTGGGACTGTTAAATTGGCTTATTCCAGAAAAAGGGACATTTTCTTTGGCCTCCGCAACCCAAGCACCACGGTAGCCATTTGCAAAGCGGGACTCTGCAAAAGAGCCGCCACGTTCTGAAAGATGAATGATATGGTGGATGGTCCTTATTCAATGTGGAGCAAATCTAGGTCTAAGTACCAGATGGCAGAGCCGAACACAGAAAATCCGTATGTGTGATGGCGGCAAGGGACAGTCATTGACATACTTGCTTTTCTGGCCAAATGCCTCAACAGATGCAGAGATTTTACATGTTAACGTTTCAATATGCCACTAAAGCCCAGGAGGAAAGTTGGAGGCAAGAAGCAAAGGTGATTTAAAGTGACAGGGGAGAAATGCGACTCATTTCTCCCACTAAGCTAGGTGATTCTTTCTAGGGAGTTGCAGGTCAAATTGGGCCCTCAATATTTTTTTTTAATTGCTGTTGTTGTTGTGTTCACAGCCCACTGGTTAGGCAACCCAAAAACTAGAATTCATGGGCATCCAATAAGAACATAAGAACATAATAATAGTCTGCTGTAGCAGGCCAATGGCTTCCTGCTGTTTTCAGTACCACATACCCTGATGTGCCAGAACCACAGATACTGAGTGCATGGATTTTTGCACCCCTGTCATTTGTAGCTTCTGGCTATGTTTGTTTGTCAGGGCACTTTCTCAAAAGCTACCGTAGGAAGCAAAGTTTCTTTGTGCTGTGCTCAGTGAATGAAAGAAAGCTAAGGCGCAGAAATTTGCTGGCCAAACAAATTAGTGTCTGTGATAAGGTTCTCTCCACAAATTTTGCCACTGGGATGCACAGGGGAGCTTAAATTATGATTTTCTGTGTTCTCGTAATGACAGAACATAATAAATTGGAGACGCAAAGTGTGAGGCGATGTGCATTTTTGTTTCATGATCACTCCACTAAACTTAGCCCATCCCATATCTGACCTCAGGCTAACTCCTTAGGGGGCAAGAATATATTTCTAAGCTAATTGGGTTTCAGCCAAAACAAAGGGGGGGGGGAGAGAAGAAACCTTTTTGTTTTGTTTTGTCCTACCAAGCAAATTATTCACGTTTATGGAACAAAATAAAAATTGAAATAAATAACTACTGCAAGCTTTGCACTTTCATCCAGCCCTGTATTATACTTTTAGCAGAGCCTTATTTCTCCCCACTCACCTGCTTCACTTTGGAAAATGTCATTACTTAAGTGGGGGAAAACTTACGCTGGCTTATCATGGTTGCCATTTCATTGCTATTACAGTGGTACCTCGGGTTACAGATGCTTCAGGTTACAGACACTTCAGGTTTCAGACTCCATTAACCCAGAAATAGTACCTCGGGTTAAGAACTTTGCTTCAGGATAATAATAATAATAATAATAATAATAATAATAATAATAATAAATTTTATGTATATCCCGCCCTCCCCAGCCGAAGCCGGGCTCAGGGCGGCTAACAACAATAAATGGATGAGAACAGAAATCGCGTGGCGGCAGCGGGAGGCCCCATTAGCTAAAGTGGTGCTTCAGGTTAAGAACAGTTTCAGGTTAAGAACGGACCTCCAGAACAAATTAAGTTCTTAACCCGAGGTACCACTGTACTGACCATGGGTGGTGTCCAACACTAGTCCTACTCAGAGTAGGCACACTGAATTTAGTGGACATGGCTATCTTAGGGCTATTCATTCTACTCTGGGTAGGATTTCGTTGAACGCAAACCCATGCATTTCATTCTTATGGGAAACAGCCAATAGCTTAATGGTAGAGCATATGTCTTGTATGTTGGTCTCAGGTTCAATTCCTGATATCTCCAAGAAATTTGCTGCCAGTCTGTATAGAGAATACTGAGCTGGATAGGCTTTGTATAAGGCAGCTTCCTATGTTCCTGTGCCGGTAGATTATTAGGGGTTATTAATGTGAGAGACTAGGCAATTATAGTATGTCTTAAACTCCTGTAGAAATGAATGGTGCATTATTATCTATCACCTAGAGCAGGCATGGCCAAACTCGGCCCTCCAGATGTTTTGGGACTACAATTCCCATCATCCCTGACCACTGATCCTGTTACCTAGAGATGATGGGAGTTGCAGTCCCAAAACATCTGGAGGGCCGAGTTTGGCCATGCCTGACCTAGAGAGTCTCATCTTTTCCTTTCTTCAGGATACATCACAAAGGAAGGGAATGCCCAAGAAACACACACCAACACACCCACACACCCACACACAGAGGGCAGATCTACACTCGTGGTTTTTAATGCTAAGGAAGTGTAAAGGAATTGTTTTGATAACCGTATGGACACATGACACCCAACTTTTAATGTTCACAATGTGTTATTAAAATGTGACACCAGAGGGCACTGCAGAGCAACCGGAAGAAGGAAAACTGTTTTCACGGGGGGGGGGGGGGGCACAAAGGTAAGAAACGCTTCATTTTACAAGTATGCCCTGTGGCCCTGTGATGTTTTAGAATGATCTATCTAATATCGTTCTAATAACGTTAAATAGGTCAGTGTAGATCCAATGAGAGAGAGAGAGAGCGCCTTATCATGATCTAGCTTTGGCCTGTTGTCAACAGTAGCAATAATTCTAGCCTTATTTTTTGTATATAATATAGCATGCAGCTGGTGAAGGTAGTTTAAAAGCATGATTTAGGACTGCATGGAACCTGCCCCACAGTTTTCTGCCTTTCTGAATGGTGGCATTACATGCTCGGGAAACTTACCCATATACGAGAGGTTTGCAATGCTTAGCTACATCATTGTTGCACACTGTATCTGCTGCATCATTCAAATTCAGCCTGATTCTGAACGATACCCCCCATTCAGAAGCCCAGATCTCTGTATAAAGTGGAATGGAGGTCTGAATAGCTGTGATACATCACCTGCACAAGACAGACTGCCAATAGTTTAGCTGCACATCATGCTTGCCATTTTGATGCACAGAAACTTGGTAAAACTGGTATGATATTGTTGGTCACTGACATGCATCGTTAAGTTGCATGCAAATAATAATAATAATAATAATAATAATAATAATAATGTACTGTTGAGTTGAGTGTAAATGCAGTCTCCCCCTTTTCAACCACCCCAATGGCTCTGATAATATTCTTGCGCCTCTTCTTTCACAGCAGTAAAACACAACAGCAATAGGTGATATCCAATGTGGACAGCAGAAAAAGCGTGTTCTCCTTCATGGAGAGCACGTGTTGCGGTGGGGTCTGCTGAGCCACCCCTCTGTTACCAGGCAGGGTCTCTAAAGATGGCCTGGGGCAGTGATTGGTTCACTGGGTTGCTGGGGTAAAAGTTACGTTGCAATTGTGGTGGGAGGGTAAAATGTTTAAATACTCTGCACGCAGCCTGGAGCTTTCTTTGCTGCGTGCATCGGATCACCCGCCCACCCGCCCTTGAGTAAGGGGCTGTTGCATTGACCTTGCTATGCCTGTCATGGGGTCGTCTGCCGTTGGGGCAGGGGCCTGGTAGAAATTTTGTCCATCTGGCTGATTGGCTGGGCCATTTGGTTTTTGCCTACTGCGTAGCAAATCGTCACAACTTGTAAGGTTGCGGTTAGGCATTGGTTGTAAATTGGTGGAGGAGGGGTTAGGATAGGCTGGGCCTGCCCCTCCATGGTTGCTGCGGAAAGGGAATTCCATTAAAGGAATCCTGGGGCTTGCCATCTTTTCGTCCAATCCCTGGAATGGGACTAGGGCCGGCAAGCCTTCGGGGAGCATGCGGATGAGAATTGAGGGTCTGTGACTCAGCTCCATTTCTCCCCGACTTGCTTTCCCCCGCACTGTCTTTTGGTGGTGCCCAGAAGTCAGTTCTGTCCCCAGGCGGGGGGACAGATAGTCTTAACCAATGCCTAAACAACCACTCACGGTTTTGTATTTAAATATAGTTGTGGCCAAAATTATGCCAAAAACCTTAAACAAAAATTAAGTGTGCATTGTGAGTTATTTGGGGGGTGGCTTGGGGACCTCGACACGCAACCATGCATATTTGTGGCAAGCATAGTATACCATATTGTAACCAAGTGCTGGGAATGTAAAGAGTAACGTTTTGCATGCTATGCATAACTCAGAAATTTCATAGTGTGTTGCAGAGAAGAATTTTCTGACAGCAGCAAATGAATCTACCATATTAAAATGCAGTTCATTAAATTGCTGGTCTCTGTTTTACCACGAAGAATCTTTCAGTGCACAACCTCTAATTTGCATCAGTACCACCAACCACTCCAATGCAATGCACCGGCTTCATGTACCTTTCCACAGATTAATGGGGGCATAATGGCTTGGCCTACACTGAATTTTTGAGCACAAACATATGGGGAATTCAAGGAGATGCATCTTCACAATACTATTCACATACATCTCTTTTTGTACATTGTTCTCGCCTTCTGTTTTTGCGTGCAAGCTCTTAAGGTTACCCCCAGTAAGGGATTAAAGAGTCAGTATTGCACCTCCTAGGGACTTGGGTGGCGCTGTGGGTTAAACCACAGAGCCTAGGACTTGCCGATCAGAAGGTTGGTGGTTCGAATCTCCGCGACAGGGTGAGCTCCTGTTGCACGGTCCCTGCTCCTGCCAACCTAGAACATCAAAGTGCAAGTAGGTAAATACGTACCGCTCCGGCGGGAAGGTAAATGGAGTTTCCATGCACTGCTCTGGTTTGCCAGAAGTGGCTTAGTCCTGATGGCCACATGACCCGGAAGCTGTATGACGGCTCCCTCAGCCAATAAAGCGAGATGAGCGCCGCAACCCCAGAGTCGACCACGACTGGACCCAATGGTCAGGGGTCCCTTTACCTTTATTGCGCCTCCTAGAGTGTTTTGTGTTTTTTTTTAGTCTGAGCATTTGCCCAGTGTAAGAGGTCTTCTGATGCATGCAAATTTTGTGTGTGATTCCTCCTCCATCTCTAGTTTTGAACTCCTCCATCCTTATCCCACAGCATCGTTTGGGAGCTATTTGCTTCTTTTAACATGCTGTTTTTACTTTGTTTTAATGTTTTGTTGGTTGCCATCCTGGGCTCCTTCAGGATGAAGGGTAGCAGATATTTATTTATTTATTTATTAAATCATCATCACCATCATCTGCCACCAGAAATTGATTTAAATGGTGTTGTGAGTGGGGTGGGGGACCCCCCCCCCAAAATTTTTTGTGCATCCACGTCTAAACTTGCCCTTGTCTAAAATGCATTTATTGGTGTGTGTGTGTGTGTTTTCTTTTTTGCACTCATTATTTTGGCACTCACTCTGCTTCTGATAGGAAGTACTCTACAGGGAAGGGGCAAAATGTGGGGGGGGTCAAAGAGGGTCAGCTGGGGGAGTGAGAAATGTCCCTATTTTCATCTGAGGAAGAGTATGGTCTAATTGGTGGGTACATTCTAATTCTACCCCAGGTCCCTTGCCCGTGAGTCAGTTTTGCCCTGCAATGAATCCCGTCAAAGAAACTTTGGCGCAGAATCAGATCGAAAACCGGCTCTATCCTGCAGTCAGTTTGTGGCTTCCTCTGCTGCTGCTGCTGCTGTTGTGGCTTTGTTTAATGTTTGTACCTCTAGGCCATTTTATGTTTTGATCATTCATCCATTTTTATCTTTGATTTGTCTTATTACTGTTTTCAGCTGTTCTTATTTCCCCTGCGTCACCTCGGCTATTTGTTTAGAAAGGCGACTCATCAGTTCCTATAGAAATAAGCAAATAAAATAAAATGAGTCATTCCCATTCCGTACATCCAGAATGCAGGCTGATGTGGCATACATATATTCTGAGAGTGTTTTTTCTCTGTTCCACGGAATCGCATCTTTCACTCCTAGCTTTTTGTTTTGTTTTCTCTTCCCCCTCCCAACTCGTCTCTCTTTGTTTTTCATATTTCTGTTTTAGCGTGATTATACTCGCAAAGGAAGCCTCTGTTGTGTCAGCAGGATAGCATGCCAAATTAACTGGGGAAATCATAGAAAATTGCCCCCACCCCCTTTCATTCAAAGGTTATTTGCTCTGTTTAATGGAGGAAGAGAACCCTGGCCCCATTCAGTCCCATTAAAGCTGCTCTCTTTCCCCCAAAATGCCCTAAGGCAGTCAGAAAAAGGACCTTGATTGGCATTTGGAATGCCCCATTATCCTGGCAGTGAGCTGGCATCTCCCCAGTTGGCTCAAATTAACATATCCCAGGGCAGCAGAAGTTATCATACTCCTTGCTAAAGCAATTCACTGTTTTTTTGGATGGCATTCATGGTAACAGATTTTCCCAGCCAGTCCCCTGCCAAAGGGGTTGAGGAGGCTTAAATAAATAAAAAATAAAAGCCTGAAAGCTTGTCATTCTCTCGATGGAAGTTCATCTTTCCTGGGTTCAACCGGATCCATCCCAGCCTCTGAAAAAAATATAAAAAAGGGGGGAGCAGTAAACAAAGTCACAGAGCTTTGAAAGACATTGCTGCGATTTCCATTATTCGCCTGGCATTTGCTGGGAAAGAGGCTGGGCTTTTGTACGCAAGGCCACTCTGGGTAATGGGATAATAGTGTCTTTCAATTTGACCGTGCGTTTCGTTCCAAAAGAGCCCAGAGTGCTTTGCAAATGGGAGGCACAGTGGAATTGGACATGGCAGCTGTTAAGAGCCAAAACGCAGCGAAGGCATTGAGCACACATGTCTAATTTTAAGAAGGCGTTTGACAGCTTTTATAGGAAATGCCACGCAGCTGGATCCACAACTCAGTTAAGCTGAAAGACTTGGTATTTCTTTTGTGCCCCGTTACAGGACAAACGGATCATTTTTTAATGGCTGGTATCCCTGTGTGCATTCATGGCTATATGACTGCCCTGGCAAGTGAGGATTTATATGGGTGAATGCAGTTGCCAGTTTTTGAAACATATTCGCCTTATAGGGGGAAACTGAAGCAAGGCATGGCAAAAGTCAGGGTAAATCCAGTAGCATCCACCAGGGGAAACTTGGTGTATTGTGAACGGACCCTGGTAGGTGTAGGTCATGAAACCCCTAGGAAAATGTATTCGTTGGGCAGATTTGGAGTGCCACCAGTTTTGAGATCCAGATGATAGATTTTTTGGAGAAGGGCCACAGCCAGTGCTTTATATGGGGGGGGGGGGAGATGAGGTGCTAGTATGCACCTTCTCCCTTCTCCCCTTAACCTGCCACTTCCTCCTCCACCACCACGTCCTTCTCCCCCGCTCCCAGTGCTTTGGTGTGACCCACCAAAGCAGGTCCACCACAAAGTGCCATGGCTAGAACAGCCATTTCCTTGACATGCAGGCCGTTCTAGCTGCAGCACTTTGTGCTAAAGCAAAGCAGTCTCCTCTGTGCATCAGCTGATGGGCAGGAGTCCAATCCTGCTTTGTGCTTCAGAAGCTGTGCACCTTTCAGCAGAGCAACACCCTTGCCTGCCCCACATATGACAAGGACAATAAATATATCGTATATATCGTATATTATTATAATTACATTGCTATCCCACCTTTTCCTCCAAGGAGTTCAGGGTGGTGTATATGGTTCTCCTAGCCTCTCCCTTGAATCCCAATCACAAACCCTGTGAGGTAGGTTAGGCAGAGAAACAGTGACGGTCCCACGGTTACAAACCCCACAAGTGTCCCTTTTTCCAGGGACGTCCCTGATTTGGAGAAGCTGTCCTGGTTTCTGATTTGATCCTAGAATGTCCCACTTTTCCTTAAGATGTCCCTATTTTAATCAGAAAAATGTTGTAGGGTATTGAGTTATCCGACACCTGAGCCATCTGAAGGCAGCCCTGTATAGGTAAGTTTATAATGCTTAATGTTTTGTTATGTTTTTATGTATGTTGGAAGCCACCCAGAGTGGCAACCCAGTCAGATGGATGGGTATAAATAGTAAAACTATTATTATTATTATTATTATTATTATTATTATTACAGTGGTACCTCGGGTTACATACGCTTCAGGTTACACACGCTTCAGGTTACAGACTCTGCTAACCCAGAAATAGTGCTTCAGCTTAAGAACTTTGCTTCAGGATGAGAACAGAAATCGTGCTCTGGCGGTGTGGCAGCAGCAAGAGGCCCCATTAGCTAAAGTGGTGCTTCAGGTTAAGAACAGTTTCAGGTTAAGAACGGGCCTCCAGAACGAATTAAGTACTTAACCCAAGGTACCACTATATTATTATTATTATTATTATTATGATGATGATGATGATGATGATAATGATGAACGTTCCTATTTTTATCAGAGAAATGTTGAAGGGTATGAGGTTATCTACCAATCACCATGGCTGTTTGCTCATTTGAACCCAGGGCCTAATCCAACACTCTAGGTAAAAGGTAAAAGGTAAAGGACACCTGGATGGTTAAGTCCAGTCAAAGGTGACTATGGGGTTGCAGCGCTCATCTCGCTTTTAGGTTGAGGGAGCTGGCGTTTGTCCGCAGACAGCTTTCCGAGTCATGTGACCAGCATGACTAAACCACTTCTGGTGCAACAGAACACCATGATGGAAACCAGAGCACACGGAAACGCTGTTTACCTTCTTGCCACAGTGGTACCTACTTATCTACTTCCACTGGCATGCTTTCAAACTGCTAGATTGGCAGGAGCTGGGACAGAGCAACAGGAGCTCACCCCGCCATGGGATTCAAACTGCCAAGCTTCCAATCGGCAAGGCCAAGAGGCTCGCCTGCCTGCTCTCAGGGTGTGGCCCAGCGACGCCGACCACACCAACCCACCCGTCGGTCGATCTCCAACACTCTAACCATTGCATCACACCATTTATGTATGTTATCAGATGCAATGTGCAGGGCAACGGGAGTGGTTTACTCAAAATGGCCCAATGGGGAAGCCTGGCAGGCCACAACTGGCCTACGGGCTCGAGTTCCCCTACCCCTGCTCTGAGTGTTTATCCTCTCCACACACATACACACCACTCTGCTGGTATTTAAGACTACAGATTAGCTGAACGAAGAGAGGAAAGGGCTGCTTGCAGGAAGGGTGTGGTTGGGACTGCAGAGCTGCAGAGTATTTGTCTACAATCTACTTGAGAAGAGCCTTGCTAACTTTCCCTCTTCTACCCATCTTTTAAAAGTTCAGTCCCATTTGCCAACTGTGCTGCTGGATGTGTGGAAAAAAATTATAGCCCCCTTTGAAAGCTGTCCAAAAGGGTTAGCATGGGGAGGAGATGCTTCTCCATCTCATAGGCTCTAGCTATTCCACCCCATACCTCCACTTTTGCAAATGCACCATTAGCTGTTTTCCCAAGAGGGCAAGATCTCCCAAACTTCTGAGTTCATTGATCCTTTGATGAGCTTATAAAGTCACCATTGACTCAAACACAAATTTGTAGGAATGTAAATGAAATAAGGTCAAGAAAAACCAATGTATATTTGACATTTATTAATTCTCAGTCATAATATATATATATGACATCAGGTAATCTTTTCAACACCTACAGAAAAAAATATTTTCAGGCATACCCATCCAGTCATGCAGAATGTTGATATGTGCATTAATCTTGCATTGAGCTTATTGTTTATTTCTTTAAAAAATAATTTTTAAAAGTTTTAAATAGTTGCTTTTAACTGGTTTTTGTTTTTTAAAAATGATAATTTTATTGTTTTACGCTTTCCCTAAACCGCTTTGAGGTTTTATTACAATCAAGCGGTATATCAGTCATGCGAAATAAGAAATACATAAATAAATGAGAAACTGCTGAATTGTGGAATCATCTTATTAAATACAGATTTTCCTCAATGACAAGGGAGGTGTACAAACAACGTTCATTACTTCTAAGGCACCTACAGTACTTCCTAATTAAATTGCTTGCACTATACCTCATGAATTTCTTTTCCGCACCCCTTTTGTCCCTAAGTCTTTGTTCAGCCTCTCCATAGTCCCATAAACCCCAGGGAGAGGGGTGGGGGGGGTCAATATTTGGGAAACCCTGCTCTATGGGGGTGGGGGGGTCAGGGGATAGACAGGTGACATTTTTGTCATTAGTCAGATGAGCTCTAGGTGAGAGTAGTCCTTTTAACATTGAAATGTCTATGAAAGAATGAAGAATTTTTGGGATTCCCCCCAAAAAAACAACAACAAAAGGCAGGGGATAATGATGGTCAAGACCTATGAAACTGGATCAAGACCATTCCACCTATTCATAACCCACAGTAGGGAATCTTGATTTTACCTTTAGGTAAGCGAACGTGCTTACACAAACCACAATCATTTGCTCTGTTTCACCACCGTAGCCCAATTCTGCGGATTGAGCTGCAAATGTAATTGTATTTTAAGGGAAGAACTTTAATTAGGTGGTTTGATATACAATTCTGACTCATGATGGATTATCCAAGCTTTTGTATTCAGCAATAATTCCTGGAACTAAGTGATTCCAGTGGGACTAGATTGTGCTAATACAGTAGGTTGGTAAATAAATTTAGTTCTTAATTGAAGAAGCTTCATCTGGAAAGTCAGTTAGGTGTCCTCGTCACTTTGTTACTGTAGTGATCCCAAAGTTTTCTATCAGCTCCGGGAAGAGTCATTCAGTTGCAGCAGAGCCAGTTTCAAGTTTGAGAGGACGCTTTGCAAAGTGCTGTATAGCGGACTTACACCAATGCTGGTGGAACTCAGAAGACTCCCCTGGTGGTTGGTGACAACCACCATTGGGGTGTCAACTTCAATAAAATATTGGGGAGGCTCCACCCCACATAACTGATCACAAGACACAGTGCATGCACCCCATTTGAATGACAATGCCCATCAACTTGGGTGGGGCTGGCCTCCTCAAATATATATATATATATATATATATATATATATATGGGGAAGGAAGAGCCCTTGGCTGCTAGGATTTGGCTCCTATGACTACCATGGTCAGCGGCAACAGCAGTGCTCTGTAGACCGCAGGCATGGTGCCATTTTAATTTCCCACAATTCCCCCAAAGCATTGTGGGAGATGTAAATGGTAGCTGCCTAGCACTGACTAGAGCACAGGTTTTAAATGGCAAGCCTGGTGTGTCCCCTGTTGGGATTGAGCTTGATTTCCATTTGAGAAACGCGACTTGCCTTGAATTGTATTTAGGGATGTAAAAGGGCATTACTTTCTGTTCTGCCCTGTATTCATCACATACAGCCCCAAGTCTGTGTTATTTGTCTTCCTATCTACTGTGCTGAAACTACATCACTTAGATCACTTCCGGAATTAGTTTGCAGAATTAATTTACATAATAAATGTAAATTATGTTGTCCTTGTGTTATTCCACTTCATTCATTCCAATTCAATGGAAGCACAATGCAAATGGGAGGGGGTGGGAGAAGGGTAATGAATTACATATTGTTTGCAGATTGAAAGCAACAACAGTGATTACTGATCTTATTCTCTGGACTGCATTTCTGTGCCAGGCACAGGACAAATGGGCAAACATCACAAAGTTCTGCTCCTGATTTTATCAGAATTTTCTGACATCCCTAATTGTACTTTAATTGGCATGAGAGAGAGAGAGAGAGAGAGAGAGAGAGAGAGAGAGAGAGAGAGAGTACTCACCTACCTCAGTATTGTTTTCCTTGACTGGGAGTGCCTATCTAGGGTTTCAGATACAAAATGTCCCCAGCCCTACCTTGACATACCTGGGACTAAGCCTGAGACCTTCTGCACTTAAAGCAAATGTTCTCCTGCTGAGAAATGGTCCTCCACACAAAGCAGATCTTGGGAACTTTGGGACCTTTAGATGTTGCTAAACTATAGCTCCCATCAGCCCCATCAAGCATGGTCATTTGCTAGGTATGATGTGAGTTGTTGTTCAGCAACATCTGGAGAACCAAAGGTGCCCCACAACTTCCCTAAAGTGGTATTATATGTTGGAATAATGCCCACCCGGGAGCAGAGCCAGCCTGCCAGGCACTCCGGGGCCATTAATCCAGTGGTCACTCTCTGGCTGAAACACAGGAATTTCTCCTCAGTCCAGAGAGACGGATGATAAGTGATCCCTCCCTTCTGAGAGGAACACACTAACAAACTTCTGGCAATCCATCACAGAAGAATGAGGCAGTCCGTAGTCTCAGGCTACTTTATTGAAACTGCATTCACAAACACACGCATGACTGTTCGTCTTGAGCAGCCCAGCTTCAGAGTCTTCGACTCAACACTGCTTCAGTCCAGAAGCGGAAGAACTCACTGTAACTCCACCCTGGTTTCACTGAGGACTGTCTGAGAACTGACTCAGACTTCCTGTCCCATGGTCAGTAGCATCACCTGATGTAAACAACCATGTTGTTCTTGCTGCTTCCTGGCAGCTTGTGGGAACTGAAATCCCAACATTATATACCATTGTGTGCCACTCCACAAATATGGACCACTTATCAGCGTCATCTCCAACTACTCAAAAGATTCCATCAATGGTGTCTCCAAAAATTTTTGCACATCACTTAGGAAGACAGGTGAACTAATGCCAGTGTACTGGAAGAAGCAAAGATCACCAGTGTTGAAGCGATGATTCTTCAACATCAACTTCATTGGACTGATCATGTTCTTCCCATGCCTGATTATTGTCTTCCAAAGCAACTACTCTATTCTGAACTTTAAAACGGAAAGCGTAATGCTGGTGGTCAACAAAAGAGGTTTAAAGACTGTCACAAGGCAAATCTTTAAAAAAAAAGTAGTATAAACACTAACAATTGGGAAACAATAGCCTGTGAGTGCTCCAATTGGACAACACCCTTTACCAAAGGTGTCATGGGCTTTGAAGACACTTGAACTCAGGACGCAAGGGAGAAATGTGCTAAGAGGAAGGCATGCTTGGCAAATCCACACCATGATCAACTCCCACCCAGAAACCTATGTCCCCACTGCGGAAGGACGTGTGGATCCAGATTTGGCCTCCACAGTCACTTATGGAGTCACTGTGAAGACCATGTTCATGGAAGACAACCTTACTTGGCTACGAGTGATAGAAGAAGAAGAAGAAGAAGAAGAAGAAGAAGAAGAAGAAGAAGAAGAAGAAGATTGTACAATGCTTTTCGTCAGCTGTCAAATACTGGAAAATACTAGAAACTTGCTACTAAATAGGGTAGAATATATTACAGCTGGTTCACATCTTCATGAAATGCTGGGGAACAAGGATTCAGTCACCAACCAAACTTGTTATCAGGAATGTTTTGTCATTGGTTCCAACACTGTATTTTCCACTGCCACACACAAACCCCAATTCACTCAGTGGTAAATAGAATACTTCCCTGTAGGATGTCATCAGGGGTTAGCAATGACCTATCAGGCTTTATTCACCCACACCCAAATGCTTCTGCTTTCAGCTCAAAACTACTTCTCCTTTTGAAAGGTTGTGAAAACCAGGGAGATGATATTTCAACCAGGTTGCTTCTACTTGAAGTCAGTTTCTGAGATAAATCTCAGTAGCCCCAAAGCCTCCAGGCACCTTAACTTTGACGATCTCAGGTTGATTTACACAAAACACTTCATCGTCGTAAATCAAAAAGACACACAGGCAATTGATTTACACTCAGCTGTTGTTTATGGCATTCAGAATGCTCTCAAGTCAGAAATAATCTTCTGAGAATGGATCCCTCTGAATTCCAGTTGGGAGAGGCTGGAAGCCAGGACACCCACATAACGGGATCCCATATTCTAGTCATGGTACTAAACAAATATCTAGCCATGCAAAGATTCATTCTTCCTCCTTGCTTGCTCTTCTTCTCTGACTTCCTGTCTCCTTCCACGTCCTTCTTCTGATATCCCATCACTTACTGGTCCAGCAAGTAAACTCATTTCATGCCAGGTCACCAGTACTAGGGGAAGAAAAAACTCCAGTAAACGTTAGATTCTCCAAGGATCCACCAACCACCCAACTAATTATGACAGCCTGTCATGACCTACTAGTCTTCTTAGGCTCCTGAATAAATTTTAGCTCCTCTAGTATCACAAGCTGTCCAATAAAAATCCTCCTGATGTGACTCTACCAGCATTTTATTCTGCAGAAATCAATAGCTCTGGGGTTTCTTCTGCTATGGACATAAGCATGAAATGTGCTGATGTCTGTGAATCGAAACTGCTGTAAAAAGAACAGGGGAAGGGGACATTAAAAAGTTGGCAACTGTTTGCCCCTTCCAGGGTCTATCATCTCTCCAGGGTACTTGCGGATTTCTTTAGAAAGTTGGCAAATGCAGGACTTTGAACTTGTGTTATCATTGCAAGGGGTGTATATGCATTTGACTTCCCAGTGAACATTTCTCTGGCACTCTGCAGCCTCCCTGGGTGGCTGTGGCTCCTTAACTGAAAAAGCCACATGGGAGAGTTCCCTCATTACACATTTCTCTGGGCTTTGACTTGAAACATAGGCTCCCAGGAAGGCAGCGGAGTGCAGCCTGAACTGGAGAGGTGATTTCATTGTGTGACCAGGCAGCAACCGCCCCAGCCCCCAGGGACCACCAGAAAGGAATAATGACTCATGACGATGTGTTATGGAATTAAAATTTGGCCACAACTTGATTTAACTTTCAAATGTAGGGTCAGGGTCAGGCTTTGGGCGTCTATCCCTCCCAGCCCCCCCAGCTGGGGGAACTGCGACACATCAGGGTAAATGGGATATGGGGGTGCTCTGCGAGACATAAGTGTAGCAGGAAGCCCAGCCCATATCCCCACACGCAGGGTAGTTCACTGACAACCTTTGAGTGTATGGCCAGTGACACCCATCTATATAACCCCTTTAAGAGGGGATGCTGGAATCGCCTCTGCGGGGGGGGGGGGGAGTTGCCACTTCACACACCCCACCCCCCATTTTAGGGAATAAAAGACTAAAGGATTCCTCCCAAGGCCTTAAACTGCCAAAGTTGTGACGAATTGCTGCGGGGAAGACAAAACCTGCCAATGCAGGAAAATTTCTTCCCAGTTCTTCAACAGCAGCCAGTCAAAAGACCATAGCAGCGCATGCTAAACAGGAAGAAAAAGGTTAACCTGTAAACAAGAAACGTTAAACAAAGGGAGGGTTGGGTGGGTGAAGCTCCTGAGCTGGCTGCCTGGCTGCTGCCGGCTTCACCCCCTATTTATGAGACTGGCCCCCACCTCCCAGCAGTGTAAATTGACTAACTGAGGCTGGGCGTGAACCTCCAAAGAATAACACTGAGAGGCCAGCCAGCCCATATAACTGGTAAGTTCCCTGGGGTCTGAAGCGCCACACATGATTCCACAAAGGGCACCTACATTGTCAAGTGTGAGCGCTCATTATGTGTGCGTTTTTTGTGTTCATTATATTTTGCTTTGGAGGTAGAACCCAAATCAAGGAATTCAAGTGACTAGAAATGAGATTCTAACTAAATGTTAGGTGGAACTTTCTGGTGGTAAGAGCTGCTCAACAGATGGTGGTGGACTTCCCTTCATTGGAGGTTTCAAACAGAGGTTGGATGGCCATCTATCAAGGGTTCTTGAGCTGTGATTCCTGCATTGTAGGGGTTTGAACGAGAGGACTTTGGGTCCCTCCCAACTCTACAATTCTATGATTCAGTGCTCTGGACTCTCCTTTGTTTTAACTGATTTTAATATTGTATTTTATGCTTGTTGTAACCCACCCTGGGACCTCATAAGGAAGAACAGCTAAGAAATCTTGACTACCCTACTTTATCCTACAAATGAGTGTTGAGCTTGTTTGGAGGTTCTAGCATGGAAGTGCAGGTATCATCTACCCTTGAGTGAAGAATGGTGGGGTGGCCGTCCTCTTCCACCAGGTGCACAGCTTCAGGAAGGCTGCACATGGGGCAGGGAGGGAGGGAGGGAGGGTGAGGACACCCACCCAGCTAGCCAGATTAGCCATAACAATCCTGGTGATCAATGGGTGACCAGTGTCACAGCCCTATTGTCCTCACATCTGGTAAGGAAGCTTAATAACGATAAGTATGCTTTAAACTGTTTTGAATATTTCAAATATTGTGTTTTAATATTGTAACCTGCCCTGGGACCTTAGGGCAAAGTGTGGGAAAACAGTAATAATTATGTTAATACAAATAATTTGTAGAATGAAAACACACACCCACAAACTCACATATAACCCTTAAAGGTAAAGGTAAAGGGACCCCTGACCATCAGGTCCAGTCGTGGCCGACTCTGGGGTTGCGGCGCTCATCTCGCTTTATTGGCCGAGGGAGCCGGCGTACAGCTTCCGGGTCATGTGGCCAGCATGACTAAGCTGCTTCTGGCAAACCAGAGCAGCACAGGGAAACACCGTTTACCTATTTATCTACTTGCACTCTGACGTGCTTTTCATAGAATCATAGAATCATAGAATCATAGAATCATAGAGTTGGAAGAGACCACAAGGGCCATCGAGTCCAACCCCCTGCCAAGCAGGAAACACCATCAGAGCACTCCTGACATATGGTTGTCAAGCCTCTGCTTAAAGACCTCCAAAGAAGGAGACTCCACCACACTCCTTGGCAGCAAATTCCACTGTCGAACAGCTCTTACTGTCAGGAAGTTCTTCCTAATGTTTAGGTGGAATCTTCTTTCTTGTAGTTTGGATCCATTGCTCCGTGTCCGCTTCTCTGGAGCAGCAGAAAACAACCTTTCTCCCTCCTCTATGTGACATCCTTTTATATATTTGAACATGGCTATCATATCACCCCTTAACCTCCTCTTCTCCAGGCTAAACATGCCCAGCTCTCTTAGCCGTTCCTCATAAGGCATCGTTTCCAGGCCTTTGACCATTTTGGTTGCCCTCCTCTGGACACGTTCCAGTTTGTCAATGTCCTTCTTGAAGTGTGGTGCCCAGAACTGGACACAGTACTCCAGGTGAGGTCTGACCAGAGCAGAATACAGTGGCACTATTACTTCCCTTGATCTAGATGCTATACTCCTATTGATGCAGCCCAGAATTGCATTGGCTTTTTTAGCTGCCGCGTCACACTGTTGGCTCATGTGAAGTTTGTGGTCAACCAAGACTCCTAGATCCTTTTCACATGTACTGCTCTCAAGCCAGGTGTCCCCCATCTTGTATTTGTGCCTCTCATTTTTTTGCCCAAGTGCAATACTTTACATTTCTCCCTGTTAAAATTCATCTTGTTTGTTTTGGCCCAGTTCTCTAATCTGTCAAGGTCGTTTTGAAGTGTGATCCTGTCCTCTGGGGTGTTAGCCACCCCTCCCAATTTGGTGTCATCTGCAAATTTGATCAGGATGCCCTTGAGTCCATCACCCAAGTCGTTGATAAAGATGTTGAATAAGACCGGGCCCAAGACAGAACCCTGTGGCACCCCACTAGTCACTCTTCTCCAGGATGAAGAGGAACCATTGATGAGCACCCTTTGGGTTCGGTCAGTCAGCCAGTTACAAATCCACTGAGTGGTAGCATAGTCAAGACCACATTTTACCAGCTTCTTTACAAGAATATCATGAGGCACCTTGTCAAATGCCTTGCTGAAATCAAGGTAGGCTACATCCACTGCGTTCCCTTCATCCACCAGGCTTGTAATTCTGTCAAAAAACGAGATCAGGTTAGTCTGACATGACTTATTTTTCAGAAATCCATGCTGACTATTGGTGATCACAGCATTCCTTTCTAGGTGCTCACAGACTGTTTGCTTAATGATCTGCTCCAGAATCTTCCCTGGTATTGATGTCAGACTGACTGGGCGGTAATTATTTGGGTCCTCTCTTTTCCCCTTTTTGAAAATAGGGACAACATTTGCCCTCCTCCAGTCTGCCGGGACTTCGCCTGTTCTCCAGGAATTCTCAAAGATGACTGCCAGTGGTTCTGAGATCACATCTGCCAGTTCTTTTAATACTCTTGGATGCAGTTCATCTGGCCCTGGAGACTTGAATACATCTAAACTAGCCAAGTATTCTTGTACTATCTCCTTAGTTATTCTGGGCTGTGTTTCCTTTGCTGAATCATTTGCTCCAAATTCTTCAGGTCGGGCATTGTTTTCTTTATCGGAGAAGACTGAGGCAAAGAAGGCATTGAGGAGTTCAGCTCTTTCTGTGTCCCCTGTTTGCATTTCACCATCTTCTCCTCTGAGTGACCCCACTGTTTCTTTGTTCTTCCTTTTGCTACGAACATACCCATAAAAGCCTTTTTGTTGCTTTTAACCTCTCTAGCAAGCCTGAGTTCATTCTGTGCTTTAGCTTTTCTGACTTTGTGTCTACACGTGCTGGCTATTTGTTTGAATTCCTCTTTGGTGGTTTCCCCCTTTTCCATTTTTGTACACATCCTTTTTAATCTTAACTCAGTTAAAAGTTCTTTAGATAGCCACCCTGGCTTCTTTAGGCACCTTCCATGTTTCCGTCTCATTGGTATTGCCTGACGTTGTGCTTTTAGTATCTCCCTCTTAACAAACTCCCAGCCATCATGAACTCCCTTTCCTTTTAGTATTACTGTCCATGGGATCTCACCCAGCACTTCCCTAAGTTTTATGAAGTCAGCTTTCTTAAAGTCAAGAAATTGAGTCCTAGTATGCTTGGCTGCTCCTTTCCGCTGTATAGTAAACTTCAGAAGAGCATGATCACTTGCGCCTAATGATCCTTCCACTTCTACCCCACTAACCAGGTCATCAACATTGGTTAGGACCAGATCTAAAATGGCTGTTCCTCTTGTTGCTTCTCCCACTTTCTGGACAATGAAGTTGTCTGCAAGGCCAGTGAGGAATCTGTTTGACCTTATGCTCTTGGCTGAGTTTGACATCCAACAAATATCCGGGTAATTGAAGTCCCCCATTACTACTATCTCCCTTCCTTTTGCATGCTTGGCCATCTGTTCCAGGAAGGCATCATCTATGTCCTCCGTTTGGCTTGGGGATCTATAGTAAACTCCCACAATGAGGTCACTGTTATTCTTCTCTCCCTTAATTTTGACCCAAATGCTCTCACTTTGGCTTTGAGGTTCTAAATCTTGGATCTCTTCACAGGTATACACATCCCTGACATATAACGCCACTCCTCCTCCTTTCTTGTCTGGTCTGTTTCTCTGAAATAGATTGTATCCCCCATTATTACATTCCAATCGTGGGACTTATCCCACCAGGTTTCAGTGATGCCTATTATGTCATATTTAGTTTGCTGTACCAAGAGCTCAAGCTCATCTTGTTTATTTCCCATGCTTTGCGCATTAGTGTACAGACATTGAAGTCCATTAATCATTCCCCGTGACTCTTATTTAAGGATTTCTCCTCCCACCACTAGGTCTGTGTGCTGTTTGCTCCATTTGGTCTATGACATTTGGATGATCATCTTCATCAATTGATAGACTCCTACCTTCAGGAGCACTATCTCCCTCCCCCACATTAGTCAGTTTAAAGCCCTCCTGATGAGGTTTCTGAGATTTTGGCAAAAACATTTCTCCCAACTGTTGTGAGGTGCAGCCCATCGCTTGCCAGAAGTCCATCTTCAAGAAACTGCAGTCCGTGATCTAAGAATCCAAACCGTTCCTGTTTACACCATTTGCGAAGCCAGCTGTTCACTTCCACTATTTTCCCCTCTCTCCCTGGGCCACGTCGTTCAACTGGGAGGACAGATGAGATCACAATTTGTGCATTTAATTGCTTCAATTTCCTGCCCAGAGCCTCGTAGTCTCTTTTGATCTTCTGGAGGCTATTGCTTGCAGTGTCATTGGTTCCCACATGAACCAAGAGGAAGGGGTATTTGTCAGTGGGTTTTATGATTCCTTGCAGTCGTTCAGTTACATCTTGGATCTTAGCCCCGGGAGACAGCACACTTCCCGAGACATCTTGTCAGGCCCACAGATCACTGCTTCTGTTCCCCTCAGTAGGGAATCCCCTATCACCACTACACGCCTCCTCTTAGGTTTGGCCGGGGTTCTTCTGTGAGCTGTCCGCTCCAAGGTCGCCTGCACATTCCCTGAGGACTGACTTTGCTGCTCGTCTTCATATACCTGATCGACTGTAATGAGGGAGAGATCCTCAAATGGAGTCTGCTCTTCGTCTTCCATGCTAGGGGAGAGGACCTCAAAGCGATTGTGTATTTCTAAACAATCAGAGCGAACCCTGGGCCTCCTACTTCTTTGAGTCACGTTTCTCCATATATCTGGCTCCTGTGTTGGTGAACTAGCGTCCTTCTCAGGGAGTCCCCTGTCTCCTCCTTGGTGGAGACGGTGTGCTCTGTTGCTTCCAAGAAGAGCTCCAGCTCTCTAATTCTTTGGAGCGTAGCTACACGTTCCTCCAGTTGCTGGACTTTGTCTTTTAAGAGGGCAATCAACATGCAATTGCTGCAGGTAAAGCTGCCTGCAACCTTTGGCAAGATGGCAAGCATTGCGCAGGAACCGCAGGCGACTGCAGCTGTTCCCCCCCCTCCATCTTGAGAACGTGTCGTTGGGGGTGGCTACAGTGGTCCTCCATCATAAAAAGCGTGAAGACAGGAAAAATAACTCCCCCCACAAAAAAACCTAGGTCTTCCCCAACAAACGTTTGAGACTAGCTCCCCTAACTCTAAAGATGGATAAAACTGCGCGCGCCGCTAGCTGCCCTGCAATCTCTGATAAGCTCCTCCCACAGCTAATCACCTGCCTCAACAGAAACCCTGCCCCCTCTGACCTTTGCACAGGGAGAGCAGCCAATCAGTCACAAAGAAACACACACACACAAGAAAACCCTTTTTGCTCCTTCTTCAACTGCTGCCCTGCAATCTCTGATAAGCTCCTCCCACAGCTAATCACCTGCCTCAACAGAAACCCTGCCCCCTCTGACCTTTGCACAGGGAGAGCAGCCAATCAGTCACAAAGAAACACACACACACACACACACACACAAGAAAACCCTTTTTGCTCCTTCTTCAACTGCTGCCCTGCAATCTCTGATAAGCTCCTCCCACAGCTAATCACCTGCCTCAACAGAAACCCTGCCCCCTCTGACCTTTGCACAGGGAGAGCAGCCAATCAGCCACAAAGAAACACACACACACAAGAAAACCCTTTTTGCTCCTTCTTCAACTGCTGCCCTGCAATCTCTGATAAGCTCCTCCCACAGCTAATCACCTGCCTCAACAGAAACCCTGCCCCCTCTGACCTTTGCACAGGGAGAGCAGCCAATCAGTCACAAAGAAACACACACACACACACAAGAAAACCCTTTTTGCTCCTTCTTCAACTGCTGCCCTGCAATCTCTGATAAGCTCCTCCCACAGCTAATCACCTGCCTCAACAGAAACCCTGCCCCCTCTGACCTTTGCACAGGGAGAGCAGCCAATCAGTCACAAAGAAACACACACACACACAAGAAAACCCTGTTGCTCCTTCTTCAACTGCTGCCCTGCAATCTCTGATAAGCTCCTCCCACAGCTAATCACCTGCCTCAACAGAAACCCTGCCCCCTCTGACCTTTGCACAGGGAGAGCAGCCAATCAGCCACAAAGAAACACACACACACAAGAAAACCCTTTTTGCTCCTTCTTCAACTGCTGCCCTGCAATCTCTGATAAGCTCCTCCCACAGCTAATCACCTGCCTCAACAGAAACCCTGCCCCCTCTGACCTTTGCACAGGGAGAGCAGCCAATCAGCCACAAAGAAACACACACACACAAGAAAACCCTTTTGCTCCTTCTTCAACTGCTGCCCTGCAATCTCTGATAAGCTCCTCCCACAGCTAATCACCTGCCTCAACAGAAACCCTGCCCCCTCTGACCTTTGCACAGGGAGAGCAGCCAATCAGCCACAAAGAAACACACACACACAAGAAAACCCTTTTTGCTCCTTCTTCAACTGCTGCCCTGCAATCTTTTGAACTGCTAGGTTGGCAGGAGCAGGGACTGAGCAATAGGAGCTCACACCGTTGTGGGGATTCGAACTGCCGACCTTCTGATTGGCAAGTCCTAGGCTCTGTGGTTTAACCCACAGCGCCACCCACATGCCTATATAACCCTTGGTCACTTTAAATTAAGGTAAGCATCAAAAAGTCACCAAGTCTTGCACCCATTAGAATGAATTTTTCTCTACCCTTTGATAATTCCAATTGCAAACTCATTTCTTACTAATCGATAGGAAATGATGGGAGGTTTTTTGGGGGGGACACACAGGGTAATTTTTCAGCACAGCTGTATAAGCAAATAGCACACCTTTCCATTAGAGGAATTATTCCCCCCCATTAAATAAAATCTCCACCAGGATTCCTCTGAGAGCTGGCTGCTTAAGATAGCAAAGGTGACATTTCAGGACTCGCCGTTTTAAACCGGTGTCGAAAAAATCTCCTTCAGGATTCATTTTGCTGACATTCAGAGCCTCAGCCCACGAGTCTCGCACTCTCTCCCCTAATCACTATATTTACCGCTGCCAGAATGGAATTCAAATCCTCAAAGTGCAAAGACCTAATAATAAACCTAAGTGGCTAGGGGATGCTTCTTCAACATTATTTCCACCTAATTTATAATCAAGATGTTCAATTAATAATTTTCGGTGCTTTACACAGTGTTAAGTCAGCTGAAAAGTATGTGATCCCTCCCACCCTTCATCAGCACGGACGTTTCATTCCACCTCCCACAATAGTGCTGAGAGATACATAATAATCCAGCCATACCAGAACACCATAATTCTTTGACTGGGAAATTGGGTGATTTCAGAAATATTTATTTTTAGGTGGGTGTATTCCACCCAGAAATTCATCCCAAACTGAGCACTGTTATGCCTCTCTGAGTTTTGTGAGAGAGTTAAGCATGGGACAAAGGTAATTTGCTTACCTGGGAGTAGATCCCAAGGATTTATAGAGCAATCCAATCCCCACCCCATATCATACCCTCCAATATTTCTCCAATGAAAACATGGGCTGTTATGCATGCAGGGACATCCTATTCCATACCCTCCAACATTTGTCTGGTGAAAATAGGAACGTCCATTGAAAAGCAGGACACTCTGGGATCAAATTAGAAACGGGGAGGCCTTCTGTAAATCTGGGACTGTCCCTGGAAAATAGGAACACTTGAAGGGTCCGCTGTTGTGAGAGGGATTAGGCAGAGTCTCCACCCAGCTGTCCCATTTCAGCTGGTCTCCTGTTGACTACTGAAAATGCAGTTAGGAGGTGCATCAGCTTGTGCCAGTTGAAAGCACCAAATGGGCCTTCTGAGGTTCTAGACTCTGCTGGTTCTGCACATGCTCAAGCCTAAACTAATTTCAGAGCCATCATGCAATGGGATTGATCTGGTGCAGTCATCAGACCCAGATCAAGCCCAATAGCTGTGCCCATTGTCTTCTTCTACTGTGAGCAGAAAGAAGAGTTGTGGATTCAGTGGCGGCTTCCCAGCTCCACAAAGCCCCTCTGATGGAAGGGTAGGACTTGGGTTTGCTCCTTGCTGGGACTCTAGGTAAATATCCATAGGATCTGACTGTATGCATCTCTTTTGTTTGGCAGGCAAATGGAAGCCAGTTGAGATGGAAGGCTGTGAGCTCTGCCCCATTCACCCGACTTGTCTTCACAGCTCAGAAGGAAGCCATGGTCAAATTATCTCCATCTGTTTGCATATAGGTTGTTTGCGGAGGCTCCTAAAAGACTAGAGTCTCTCTCTTTTGTCCTCAGGATGATTTGGGAGGAAGTTCTTCTTCTTGTTGTTGTTTAAAACTAACTTTGTTCATTACAGAGTTGAAGAAAAGTTGCCTTGTGCCAAGGCTGATGCATCAGTACATCTTGAAGATGTCAGAAATAAAAACTGGCATACATGGTTCTCTTCCTCCCTGTTTTATCTTCAAAATAACCCTTTGAGGTTGGTTGGGCTGAGAGACTGTGACAGGCCCAAGGTCACCCAGTGTGCTTCATGGCTCAAAATCAACTCTTGTGTTAAGAACACTGGACTCATAACAATGGTCTATACACCTCCATACTGTCTACATCGAGTGGCAGTGGCTCTCCAGGAATTCAGACAGGGAATCTATCCCAGGCCAACCTGGCTATACTGGGGATTGAAACTGGGACCTTATAATTTTAATAATAATTTTATTATTTATACCTCACCCATCTGGCTGGGTTGCCTGCCCCAGCCCCTTGGGTGGCTACCAACACACATGAAAACATCATGAAATGTCAAACATTAAAAACTTCTCAATGCCTTCAGATGTCTTTTGAAAGTTGCATAGTTCTTTATCTCCTTAACATCTGATGGGGGGGGGGGTGTTCCACAGGGAAGGTGCCACTGCTGAGAAGGCCCTCTTCCTCATTCCCTGTATCTTCACTTCTCACAGTGCGGGAACCACCAGAAGACCCTCGGAGGTGGACCTCAGTGTCTGGGCTGAATGATGGAGGTGGAGATGCTCCTTCAGAAGAAGAGGAAGAAGAAGAGTTTGGATTTGATATCCCACTTTATCACTACCCAAAGGAGTCTCAAAGCGGCTAACCTTCTCCTTTCCCTTCCTCCCCCACAGCAAACACTCTGTGAGGTGAGTGAGGCTGAGAGACTTCAGAGAAGTGTGACTAGCCCAAGGTCACCCAGCAGCTGCATGTGGAGGAGCGGGGAATCAAACCTGGTTCACCAGATTATGAGTCTACCACTCTTAACCACTACACCACACTGGCTATTCAGGTATATGCCAAGGCCGTTTAGGGCTTTAAAGGTCAGCACCAACTGCTTGGAGTACAGTGGTACCTCGGGTTACAGATGCTTCAGGTTACAGACTCTGCTAATACAGAAATATTACCTCGTGTTAAGAACTTTGCTTCAGCAGGAGAACAGAAATTGCGGTGTGGTGGCAGTGGGAGGCCCCATTAGCTAAAGTGGTACCTCAGGTTAAGAACAGCTTCAGGTTAAGAACGGACCTCCCGAACAAATTAATTTCTTAACCCGAGGTACCACTGTATACAAAGCAGATGCTCTACAAGTGATCTGTGGCCCCTTCCAGCACTAAAGATTCTATTGTAATTTTATTACAATTTGCATGCAGAAGGTCCTGGGCTCCACCTCCAACATCTCCATGTAGGGATGGAAAGCCACTGCCAGTCAGTATAGACTATACTAAGCTGGACAGACCAGTAGTCTGTATACGACAGCTTCCTGCTTTCCAAAAATATCATACCTTCCAAAAATCTATTGAATGCAAATCTCAGCCAGTAAAGGAATTGATGAGCCTAACCTGGAAGATCAATCCATGGGCTTTGTAGCTGCTGAGGTTACACAGATGACTCTCAAAAACACGCATATGTACTGCTTAAATCACAGCAGAATTCAAAATAAATGAATGGATAAATAAATATATAGGCATATAGGTGAGGGGGGAGAGAGAGAGAGAGAATGATAAGTCACTGCTTTCAAAGTCCAGACACACTTTCAAAGAGTACAAGAAGCTCCTTGTTTCTATTTGATACTTAACAAGTGCCGTACAACAGAGCGTATCTCAAGCTGTGCTTTTGTGTCTAAAAGAACCCAGAGTGAAATTAACAAAGCCTTGGGTATTAAGGAAAGAGAGGAAAAAAACACACCCAAGGGTATTTAGCTTGGCTGGAATGTTCAGTCTTTCACTTGTGTGAACACCTTTTTAGAAGTTACGCTAAGTAAATTAAAAACAGAGCTTCAAAGATTAACTAACAAAAGCAAAGGGAGAAAAATCCATTTGATTTCGCTACTTCCCTATCTTTAGGATCACACCATTGATCCATTTTGGTATAGATTGATTGAGATGCTCTTGTTTGCATGAGATGTTGCTTTGTTTGCAAACTGCCGAAACAGGATAAAAGACCATCGGCAAGATGGTTAATGTTGAGTCAAAGAGGCTGATAAAAGGCTTTCTGCATCCTCTTGTGTCCCAACATCTGTCGTTCAATAAGGTGTTGATTCTCTTCTTTGGACACTTTTTAGGAACGTGGAGGAAAAACTTTCTCCTCCCGCTCACAGTTATCCATCATGAGACATACTCTCCCTGAATCACTGTGTATTTTTTTTGCATAATACACGTTAACAACTGTTGGCGGTCCCACACAAATTACCAGCCACAGTTTATTTATTTGCTTTATTGTGTTGTAAATTGCTTTGTCGTGCCTCAGGGGAAGCAACTGATAAATAGATAAATAAGTAATGTTTGCTATTGTTTATATATTGTTGAAAGAAGCAATGGACTTGTCTCCACACCTTCCGTTCCTTCATCCAGCAATACTAGTTAACATAAGAGTTTCATTCAGACTGAAAATTCCCAAGAAGAGAATTTATGGAGAAAATCTGAGTGGTTTTGCCATCCACCCTTTCCCAATTTTTTCAATGGCTGGGTTTTTTTTTTAAAAAAAAATTTTAAATTTAGATACGTTTTTATCATGCGCTGGTTATTGCTGGTTGCCACTGTGGGCTCCTTTGGAAAAAAGGGTGGGATATAAATTTAATAACAGAATAAAATAAAAACCAACAGAGCTCAAGGACACTCTCCAGAGGGGAGGGATATGGCCTGCCGAGAAGGTGTGTGGCTGAGGCAGAGGAGTCATAAGTCAAGGAGGGTCCCAGAGGCCACACAGAGAGTCCTCATTTGGCCCCTGAGTCACAGGTTCTCCACTGGAGAGTGAAACTCATTCCAGGGTGGAATCTTTTCCCCAATGAAACACAAGTTCAGCAACGTATGCCCAGATTTGGTTCAGGCCTTGCAAAGTGAGAGCATTTCTCCAATGAAAATAGGGATAACCCATTCCATAATGATAATTTTAGGGACGTGGGTGGCACTGTGGTCTAAATCACTGAGCCTCTTGGGCTTGCTGATCAGAAGGTCAGCGGTTCGAATCCCTGCAATGGAGTGAGCTCCTGTTGCTCTGTCCCAGCTCCTGCTGACCTAGCAGTTTGAAAGCACACCAATGCAAGTAGATAAATAGGTACTGCTGCAACAGGAAGATAAATGGTGTTTCCGTGTGCTCTGGCTTCCATCACGGTGTTCCATTGTACCAGACGTGGTTTAGTCATGCTGGCCACAAGACCTGGAAAGCTGTCTGTGGAAAAACGCCGGCTCCCTCGGCCTGAAGAGAGATGAGTGCCACAACCCCATAGTCGCCTTTGACTGGACTTTGACCACTCAGGGGTCCTTTACACTTTACGTGGGGGGGGGGCAGAGAGGGAAAGCTGCCCCCCGCTAAATACCGTATTTTTCGCTCTATAGGACACACTTTTTACCCTCCAAAAATGAAGGGGAAATGTGTGTGCGTCCTATGGAGCGAATGCAGGCTCCTTGGCTTCGTGGCGACGCGCCTGTCCTGGAAGCCGGAGGAGGAACAGAAGGGTCTCCTTCTGTTCCTTCTCCAGCTTCGCTGAAGGGCGCTGCGCCTTCTCCCTCTCTGCGCAGCACCTTTCCTGTGAAGGAGGGGCGCTGCACAGAGAGAGAAGGCGCAGTGCCCCTTCAGCGACGCGTCTGTCCTGGCTTCTGCTTTAGCCCTGCGCAGCCTCTTTGGGCAGGGGGAGCCTTCATCCCGCTGCCCTGAAGAGGCTTGGCGCGGTTACCCCAGAAGACAGAACAGCCACACGGTATCCCAGAAGCCAGATCCCTCTTGCTGTTCTGGCTTCTGGGGTTCAGAATAATTTTTTCTTGTTTTCCGCCTCCCAAAACTAGGTGCTCCCTATGGTCCGGTGCGCCCTATGGTGCGAAAAATACGGCAATTAAAAATCAACAAAAAATTGCAAACTGAGGTTCTGCCCCCCAACAAAAGTCCTGACCCCCCCAACAAAAATCCTGGCTACACCCATGCCCCACCCATCTGACTGGGTTGCCCCAGCCACTCTGGGCAGCTTCCAACATATATAAAAAAACATATATAACATATATAAAAACCATTAAACTTCCCTATACAGAATTGCCTTCAGATGGCTCAGGGGTCAGCTAACTCCCCATACCCTCCAACATTTCTGGGATGGGTTCTGTCAATTAGGGACATCGCTGGGAAATAGGGACACTTGGAGTGTCTAAGGGAAATCTTCCAATGACCTCATAAGCTTTGCTGCCTTTTCTCAAGCCTGCCCACTCACCTGCTTGGCAAGCCGGCTCTGCTGAAGGCCCCCCCCCCCCCATTTCCATTCTCTCCCTGTCATCAATTCTAAATTAAACGAAATGCATTTTTCTCATTCCACATTAATACCTCACAAACTGCAGCATTAATGTGGAGTGAAGAGAGCAGCTGCTGAACCTGGAGCCATATGTTCCTCTCCCGGTGCCTTAGGCTCACAGGAAAACTCAGCAGACCCGCATAAGTGACTACCCTCTAGGGAACCGGCGGTCTCTCAAGGAAGTCTCATAAAGCAGAAATCGGAGCTGTGGTTATCTCCACAGGCGCAGGCAATTCCATCTGAGTCTTGCTAGGCCACCTCCTTCCCCTGTGGATCTTGCACAAACCCAGACATTCTGCTTTGTGCTCTATCTATGAGAATCTCCCCCAGTTGTTTCAGTTGTTGTTTCAGTGTTACAAATATTGTGCCTGAATGCAACATACCTCTATTTCCTCACATCCAGAAACGCAAGAAGGGCTTTTACTCTTGCCAGAAGCTTGGCCTTGCTCTCACCAGTTCTGGAAGGCTCCTATAGAAAGGTCCTGTACACACAGAGACTTTGCGCCTGCCCGTTAGGGGAAATAGGAAGCCCCG